CCCCCCCCCCCCCCCCGTGGCTGTTCTCAGTGTCATCCCCCTTTCTCCACACGCCCCTGCGCGCCCGGGGGGACCCAGGGGGCGGCGGGTTCCTCCTCGGTCCCGGGGCTCCGGGTGTCCCCCCCCCGCCCCCCCGCTGAGCTCCGAGCCCGGGGGCAGGCGGCGGGTCCCTGAGCCCGTCTCCCCCCCGCAGGGAGTTTCGTGTACCAGGGGAAGGCGGACTGTCTGTTCACCAACGGCACCGAGCGGGTCCGGCTCCTGGCCAGGTGGATCTACAACCGGCAGCCGCTCGTGCACTATGACAGCGACGTGGGGCGGTTCGTGGCGGACACGGAGCTGGGCCGGCCCGACGCCGAGAGCTGGAACCAGGACCCGGCGATCCTGGCGCGCGCGCGGGGCGAGGTGGACCGGTTCTGCCGGCACAACTACGGGGTGGACAAACCTTTCACCATCGACCGGAGAGGTGAGTGTGGGGGGGGGGTTCGGACGCCCCCCCCCCCCCTTTATCTGCGTGGCCCCCCCGGGGGGGGGGGGGGCGGCGCTCGCGCGCGGGGGGGCAGCAGGCACAGGGGGGGCGGGGCCGGGGCGGGGGGTAACGGACAGGGGGAGGGGCACAGAGAGCTGGACGGGGTCACACCAGTGTGGGGGTGGGGCGGGGTCTCCTCCCCTCCCCCGCTCCGCCCCGGGTCATAGAATCATATGATTCAATGCGCTGCGGCGCCCCCTGGCTGCAGGGCGCAGAGCCCCACACCCGGGTCAGTCTCGGGTGGGGGGTGACTGACACTCCCTCGCTCCCAGCCCCCCGCCCCCTGAGCGGTTCAGCCCCCAAAGCCCCCCCACACACACACACTCAGACCCTCCAGGGCAGGCAGCTGCTGTACCTCCAAACCCCCTTCCTGGCCCAGGCATGGCCGGGCGATGGGGCAGAACTTTCCACCCCCAACCCCGGCCCTCCCCCCTCGGGTGTCCCCGGCTCGGGGGTGGGAGCAGCTCCTGGTCCCTGGGCTGAGACCCCGTCTCACTGGGCCCAGCGTCAGACAGTCCCTGGCTCTGTCCCCATGGGGGTGACGGGACACGACTCCCCTCGGGCCCTTTCTCCCACAGCCTGCCCAGCGCAATGCGGGGAAGGAGAGAACCAGTCCGGGGAGGCTAGATGGGGGGCTGGGGCCTTTCCCTGGGGCACAGAAGCACCTCTTCTTCCTGAGCACCCTTCCGTCTCCTGCCCCTTTCCCAGCCCCCCTCTCTCTCTCCCACCAGTTCAGCCCGAGGTGACAGTTTCACCCACGAAATCGGGATCCCAGCCCCACCCCAACCTGCTGGTTTGCTC